GTAATACCCATGTCATTATACAAATTTGTGTCCTCATATGTCACAAAAACGCACACTCACACACACACACACAAACACACACACACACACACACACACACACACAAATGAACAGAGTTCTGTAATACCGACCTGATCAACAGATGTTGACCAAACACACTTATTTCACACTTATTAAATATTTCATTAAGGACTCTGAATCTCATTGTTGAACATTGATTTCCTCATAATGATGCACAAAGGGTTCAGAAGAAACTCTATACAGCATTTAATTAGCCATAATGAGGAGCATTAACTTTCTATAGTTTCTTCTGTGATGTCATTGTCTCTCTCTGCAGACTGAGGCTCCAAAGCTTCCATTGTGTGTGACATCACTGTTCTCTCCTTTCTTTGTCTTCACCCACGGCTGTGCCCATGTGTCCGTGCCAGAGCATGAGGGAGTGATTCAATTACAGTATCTCGCTGCCAGTGAACACATTCACATTACTGCTGGGACACACACAGGAAGAGAGAGAAAGTAAAGTAAATGCACAGACAAACTGCAGACTCACGCCACGCCAAATCTGGCTTTGTGAAGATTTCATTGATTGAATTGTGGGAATATAATTATTTTTTAGTATTGGTTTTGTATTGTAAAATCACTGGCTATGTTTTTACAAAATGCCTGTTTTATCAAAGAAAAATACTGATCAGTTTTCCTACATCACAGAGGAGCTGTTACAAGATGGTTTATTTGTTACAAGATGGTGTTGGCAGCTCCTGAGCTTTCAGAGCAGAAGCCTGAGAGGTTTAATGTTGCCTAACACATGTCCTGAAGTGTTGGCAGCCCGTAAAAAGCAGAATCTGATATATAGACTTCTTGAGTCTCTGTCTGACACATGGCAAAGGTGTCTGATTGACTGTCTTTCTAAAAGCTTTTGGCACTGTGACACTGCAGTCACGATGTTGCAACTCTCTGTAGACACTGTGACTGCTTTTGAGTAGAGATCACAACCTCCTCTACCCTGTGTGCCCACATCTTCACATCTTCCGATACACACGCACACACCCGTTCATCAGGGAGGAAACCCGTCTCATGCACTCAAAAGATAAGGATCGAGATGCTGGAGAACCGGCAGAAAAAATCTGTGTGAGCCCCTCCCTCCACATACTCACAGACATATTTGTCTTTCCTAGAATTCTGGCTGCTTCAAAGCATTTTTTGACATGTGGTGTAATGTAATATTAAGGACTGATGTGCAGGCATCAAAAAGCTTCTGATGAACAAATAAATTCAAAGAATATAATGAAGGCAAAAACACAGAACTTTCATTTAAAATTTTAATTTAAAAAAACTTAAAGTTCTAATCTGGTTATAAAATGGCCTGTGTGTTTCTCTTCAGACTCTTCAGACAGAAAAAAAATTTCTGTAATGAACTGTTTGCCATTTGGCAGTGGAATCAGACTGTCTCTTGCACAAACTTTCTCCATGTTTCTCTCACTTAATTTTTCCAGTTTTTTTTTTTCCAAAGCACATTACTGACCTGATTGTTTTACTTCAAATAAAATAAAATAAAATAAATATTACATTACATTTAATTACAAATATATTGTTTTAAAATATCTAACAGTTTTTGTTTTGTTCTAGCATTTTTAATTATTCACAGATTCACAGATCCTACCACAATAATAAATATTCCAGAACTGAATTGCCTCAGCCTACCAGATATTTGCTATTTTCACAACACTCATATTTAATACACTTTATACCTTAACACATAGAAGAAGGTTTACGTTACTTATGTTCCTACTCAACTCAGTATGCTTGCTCACACAGGCGGGTTAAAGATCTCTGAAAGATGTCTCTATCGACCAATAGGAGCGTTCACTGGCAACAAAAGCGTTAAGAAATGTCATGAATATGTAAATATTTACGGCCCCCAGCCAATGAGAGACGCGTGGGGGCGTTTCTCGGAGACTCAGCACAGATGTTTGACTGAATGTGGGATTGGTGAGGAAAATGATGGAGTCTTGATTCGTTGAGTTTGTGTGTGAATACGAAAACAGCGCTGGAATTTCCTCCTTTCGACTGGGAAAACCACCACTGCTTCTCGGCTTCAAGCTCCTCTGTTTGGTTGTTGCCGCTATACGTCTGAGTATCCAAGGGATTTCTGTTTCGCTGCCGCTCTTTTCCCTAGGATAGTCTGCCTGGCTAAGGTTAGCCTAGGCTGCTAGCGGAGCTCTATGGGAATATCCTGCCAGAGCGGCTCTTTAGCTCGCTAGCGGGCTGAATGCAGCCACGCGCCTCCCGCCGCATCGGGCGCATTCAGCCGCTACTGCTGCGGCATTATTCACGCGGTGAGTGCAGGAATGCGACCAGGATGTTTACGAGTAATGTCTGTGAAATGGTCTATGTAATTGCAGGAGTTTCATTATCGATTGTTGTAATGATCTCTAAAGCTAGGTATTTATAAAAACACTGTGACTTTAAAGAGGATCTTTAACTAGTAACCTGAGAACATCTATCTTAAGTCTCTGTAGTCAGTTTGACAGCACTGACAGTTCATCAGTTTGTAGTGTGTGCATGAGGATATGAGTTGTTTTAAGAAGCCTGCATGAATATAAAACTATCATCTCGTGAATGTTTGAACAGCAACAGTTGCGAGCATAATTAAAAGAAATGGATGAGTTATTTTAGCCAGTCCAGCACAACTTTTGAACTTTTAACGTCAGCTATGTAAAAAGTCTGACAGAATGGAAAAAAGAAAGACTGGAAACTGATTGTCAGTCTGCTTGATATTTACTGATTAACACAAGAGAGAAAGTGCTGCTGTACTAAATATTGGCACAACTGTCAATATAATGAAGGGTAATGTCCTGCTTATCCCTGACTGCATTCTTAATGTAATACCTGACTGCATTCTCTTTTTAGCTTTTTAATTTTTTAAAATTAAAAACACATAATACAAATGACAGTTTTTATTAAAACATTGTTATTAGGCAAAATTACGTGTCATCCTTTCACTAATGTAATTTTTCCCATAGCGTTCAAAAAAGTAGTTTCATTAAAAAGTTACAAAGCAGGAACAAATCCAGCTGCCTACTAGGTGAATGACAACATAAAAAAAGGTTCAAAACTGTGTACTTAAAGGCTTTAATAAGGGAAAGAACTACAATCCCATGAAGTATTGTGAGTGGCATAATTGAAACAAAAATGGGTAAATATAAAACCTTTGATTTAAATATGTCGATTATGTACATAGAAACAGTGCATTCTACCATGCACCAATAAAATAAAATGCACCAATAACTTTTGATATACAGTATCAAATGTTTTCAAGTCTTCAGAGTATTTGTAACTGGTCTACAAGATCTAATCTGGCTGACTATGAAATTTGGTTGCACAGATACACAAAGTCAGCCAAATCTCTGTTTCCTGATACCATCACTTTCCATTGCCTTTCACAGATAACTGATAGGGAATTTTCTGTTACTGGTATGAATCAGTGCTTCAATTAAGGATGGGTTTGGTAAAATGAGTTGAAACTGACAGATATTTAATGCAGAAATCTGAAAATCAAAGATAAATGAGTTAATAGATATCTTTTGGTGCAACAACCTTTATCACCAAGGTCTAACTGCCTCCCTCTTTGTCTCTGTAGGTTTATTGACACATGGAAATGAGGAATATCGGATTACCATGCACTGCTTACGTTTATTTTGAGGGATTTGCTGTACGGAATGAGCTCTGTGAGAGCTGTCAATCACCCCGGTGGATTTAACATGTCATGCCATCATGCAGATCTGCGATCATCCACACTAATGTTTTGATGACAAGGGATCTGCGTGTTTTTTCCTTTCTTCTACCTGATTTGAAACCCCTTAAACATCAATGAATGCACAAAAGCCGATTTTGGAAAGATACTTTTGAGAACTTTTTCAAGGAAAGGATTTGTGAGGGGGTGGTGTCAGAACACGACAGTCTTTTAAACAAACTGTCAGCTCTTTAAAGAGGAAAAAAACCATGGCTTCGGTGTGGAAGAGACTGCAGCGTGTTGGGAAACATGCTTCCAAATTCCAGTTTGTCGCCTCCTACCAGGAACTCATGGTGGAATGTACAAAGAAATGGTGAGTTGTCACTGCTTGCATGTCTCGTGCGTGCTGCTACTCATTTCCAGCCCAGCTTGTGAGTGTGTGTGTGTGTGTGTGTGTGTATGAGCGAGCGCGAGCACCGGCTTCTGGAATGCTGAGTTGGCCCGTGACGTATCTAACGGCGATGATTTATCCATCCCCCTGAGCGTCCCTGTGTGTAGGGAGAGGCTGGCAATTTGCAACTATACTTTTCCATTTTGTTTATTTTCTCTTCTCTCTGTTTAGGAATCATGCACGATGAGTTGTATGAGATTTGCTGCAATGAAGCCTGAAGTCTCCTTCCCATATTTCAGCAGATAGGATGTAACTCAAATTAGATGTAGTGAGATGTTAAACATACATATATGTTATTATTTACAATTAACTAGATACAATAGGCAGTTCTGTTTCTTTGTATTTTACATACACACTTGGTTGTCCCTACATTTAAAGCATAATCATCAACATTTATCATGTTTACATGTAAATTTTTTCTGCTTAAGGTCCATATTTTTTCAATTACTAAAAAAATATTAAATAAATGGCCATAAAATAGATTTACAGGTCTTTCAGCTATTGGAATATTCTGGTATGGTTGTAGTCAGCATAAACTAAGACATTCTTTTTACTGGAGATGTGCACCCTTGCCAGTTTTTGAATAATTTTTTAGTAAATTATGTGCAGTAATTTAATAAACTTATTGTTCTAGACAACAGCACATAATGTAATGTGGGTCATGAGGTGCTTCCACCTCATTGGTTTTATGTTCACGTCTTTTAATGTTTGGGGAAAAAATGAATCCTTCTGTGGATGCCTTTTATAGTTGCTGTGGATCTGTGGATGCTTTTTAAAAAAAAAAAAACTATTTTCTAAATGCATATAATCAATCTTACTGTGAATAATTCACCTGTGTGAATCAAAATGTCATAACTCATTCTTCCAGAGAAAGAACAGACTTTTCTCTGGTGACTTATGCCAGATTGCTCCAATCATTTTGTCCACATAAACCCACCCTTTTTGTATAATGGACTGCAAGCTTGCATTTAGGTTTGCCTCCATCCAATCAACAACCGATGGAAAGAACGCCTACATTTTTTCATTTTTAATAGTCCGTTCAATTCGGATGTACATCACAGTTAGGCCTGTCGCAATAATCAATATATCGACTTATCGCGCAATATATGTACATGACCTCAATAATTTTTGGTGACGCAATATATCGCCCATTATATTTACTTAAAAATTAATGTCACCATGTTTTGTACATTCCACTTGCGCCTGTGTCTTTTGCAGCTTCTCGTACATAACGTGGTGTAGTCATGAGGTGCTAGTTCACATTTAAAAAATGCTTCTACAAACAAAGTTCCATCTGCAGATATGGTCTTGTTTAGGGAGCTGTGCCTTTGTGCATACAGACATCTGACTGCTAAGTAGTGATTGTGTTTTTCAGCAATAGTGTGCACCCTTAATTTACAGAGAAAAGAAGGTCAGGGAAAAATCTGTAGATGGAAAAATCTCCATACAAGTTCTTTGTGCATTTTTCTTTTTTTCTACTTAGCACTTTTTTGTTAGAAAATGTTTATTTACTAATAATTCAGGTTTTTTAAGTTATCTAATATTTTGATACTTAATTTCCATGAGCTAAACATTCTTAAAAATTAAAAGTTTGTTGTCATTTGGAAGTGTGTAGGCCTTCTTGCATTATTATGCTGTTACATTATGATTATATATTCAGTGGCATAAAATGGTCTTTAAAATGACAATAATATCGCTTATCGCAATTATTTCTGGGGCAATATATCGCACAACAAAAAGTTGTTATCGTGACAGGCCTACCACTGCGTAGTACAATCCGTGCCGTTCAGCCTGAGCTTGGGCCAAACACACATTTGCTCATGTGAGAGGATGTTTTTTAAGCACGTTAAGTAAGCCTGGTTTACATAATAAATAATAGTTTAGCATTCAAATACATCGCAAA